TTCACGTATTCAGTCGGATACATACATGGATGATCGCTCATAGAGGATCAAATGTTGGTTGATTTTCTTTAAAGCCAATCATGATGTCACGCACCTTACTTTGGGTTAGAGAAGGAAATTATGGTGTTAAATAATTTCCTTCATATTTAATGAGTCCATATTCTTGAGTTTGACCCGGATCATATGGCATGCCTTCTTTGACCTTGTTATGTAACATCCGGTTTTGGAGGTATGTTTTATTTTAATTTAAAATTTGAAGTTTAGTGAGTCGCCACGACGTGGGAAGGATGGCCACGACGTGGCGAGGCATTTTCTAGCCGTGGGTCTTTTTGACTTGCCACAACGTGGCAAGGAAGTTCACGGGGGTGGCCGCCGCTAATGTCTTAAACCCTAATTTTTCCGGTTTTTGCACCTATTTAAAGGAATGAGGAGGTTAGGGTTTGGTCACCCTCAGCCTCCATCACCCTCTTAAACTCAAAAGAAACCCTAAATCCTTTCCCCCCATTGTTGAAGCTTTCTTGAGTGCTTTTGAGAGGTCTTGAAGGAAGAAGCACGAATGAGTAAACCAAAGATCAGCAAGAGAGTCCCTATCTCCCTTCCTAGCTCAATTCTGGACCATTTAAGAGTTCAAGGTTCCACCTTTTTTATTATAGAGTGGTAGATCTTGCATTTTGTCCCATTCTTCTTGATCTTGTTGGATGGGATGGTGAGACTTCATAAAGGTTGCAACTTTATGAATCTCTGGATCATTTGAAGTAGTTTATGGTTTGGATCTGAAGTTTGGTGGTTTGTTTGTGCCATTCATAAGATTTGGGTCATAAAACCCCATTTTGACCTAAGTTGAGTCCAAGACTTGCATTGGACATGCAAGTCTAAAAAGTATCAATCTTTAGGATGGTTTTAGTGTTATAAGCTCTTCTGGAGCAAATGGGCTCAAGACTTAAGGGATTAAGTGCTTCTTGATTTAAGCCCATGTCATGGTTATGCTTTATGGATCTAAGACTTGAGATCTATACCTTTTGGTAGATCTCAAGGGATAAAGTTGGAAACTCACTAAGCTTTTGGTAGACCCAGTTTTAGTTTCGAGTTGTTACGTATGTTTGGTATGGGGTATTTTGGAGAAACTCACTAAGCTTTGTGCTTACAGTTTTATGTTTATGGTTTCAGGTACTTCCAGTTCGGAAGGGAATGGTCCGACATGATTACACCGCATCCACCAACATTCCGCATTTTATGACATGATTTGTACTCTGATAACTATTTTATACATTATCACATTTTGATGGATTTTGAAATTAGTGAATGATGTTTCTGTTGGTTTTAAAAATGAATTTTTTACGTAGTAATTTTTGGCACGTTACATGTTAAGATATAACCGTGTACTTTAAAACCTTCCACGAGAACGCTTAAATGTTTTTTTTTGGGAAAAGCCATGCCCATTTTTGTGGAATGAATCTTCTTAACCGAAGCTTGATGTCATGGAACACTTTCCTATTTGATTTATGGGCACATGCGGTATCATGTTTCTTATTCAATAACATTTTCTTCATATGTTGACTCAAACTATAATTAAATCTTTTTGACCTGTTACATGATAAAATGTTCTCCAAATCGCGGACAATATGGGAGAGCATATACGCAATATGCTCATAGACATAATCGTCTATAATATCAATCATAAAATGGTCGTCGCTAACTGGAGTATCATTAGTCGGTCCAAATAATAAAAGTCTCAATATATTGTTTCCACATGTTACATCTACCACACATTCCCAACAACTAGTGTGGGTATAACTAGTTGCCAAAAAGGGATGACGAATGATGCCATTTGGTTGTTTGTATTTGTACGAGTTTTACCAACCTATCCCGATAAGATCAACAAGAAGTTGTTTATCAGGATCTTGCAAAATTCTTGGGTGGGGGATGATATTAGCCTACACGAAACCCTCTCTAAATTTGGGTGTTTCTGGTTCATGCAAAATTATTTGAGATGATTCCAATGTAATTTCAAATTTTTCTTCGTTAATTATCTCCACTTTAACATCTTCCTCATCACTTGATACACAGTCATCTACCACAACCTCATAATCGGGTAGTGTAGGTTTATGTACACTTGAATGTCGAAAGATTCATCACTACACAAGACAATTACCGCATTCGCTTGCGTGGTATCATTTTAGTTGGTCCACCATTTGTTCTACTTGATTTTTAGGCGTCAAAATTGATTTGGACTGGACTTCCTCTTGTTTAAATTCATTCTTCAACAGTTCCATCATTTGATCCAACTTCTTATTGATTAAAGAGTCATTTGATCTTCTTTGATCGACTTGAATGTAAGATGAAATATGGTGTTGATTTTGATAATGGTTGTCCCTCCACCCATCATTATTGTATGGATTTGGTTGCTTTGATGGACTATAAAAATCATAATAATCTTGATCCACGGTGAGGTAATCACCATTGTTTTTTGTTTAACCATGGTACAAAAACAAATTATGAGTATGCTTGCTAAACTTTTGCAAATCTGCAAAGAAAAAGACGAACAAGCGTATAAAAGAGAACCAAACAACAAACTAAATGCAAAAAACAAGAATATTTTTGAGTTTTGAAAAATTTGAAAAGCAGTAAAAACTGCTGAAAAGAACTAAAAGCTAAACGTAATAGCTTCCTAACAACAACGCCAAAATTTGATCGTAATCGTTGATCGTTGATGCAATAAAAAATAACCTTAATTCCACCAATCTAATGAATGCTAAGTAAGAAGAGGAGCTTATGGTTTGAAATAGTTCTCAAGTTGTTTAAAAAGATTAAAAACTGAAGAATTTCTTAAAAACAACAAAATATTTGATTCAATATCGGGGAAAAGTGATTAAAAACAGAAAGAACAGAACTCTTTTCTTCTCATCTACATTTACGATTATTTTGGGCCCAATGAGACAACGATAAAATATTAAAGAATATGAAACAAAAAGTACTAAACCTGTTTGCAAATGGGCCGCTACATCGAACTCTCAGTCTTTCTTAAAATGTACTTTTACGATTATTTTGGGGGTATTTGTTTCTTTTGCAAAAATGGTAAGGAAATAAAACCGGGTCAATGCTAATGACTACTGACTAGCAATGAATTATTATTTTTTGACATATTAACTTCTTAATGGTTTTTTGCTATAATGACTTGTTAAATTGTTTCTGTATTAATTTTAATTTTAAACAATTTGATCAGATAAACCCATATTATCAATGGTGTGTCATCCACATGGCTTCTCACTATGCCTCTATATTGACATTATTTCTAAGCACCTTACTACCTCTTAGCTTTTTATGTATGTTTAATATTCCATTTTATTAAATATTATAAAGTTAGCTTGTATAGATATCTAATATATTGTATGAACATCTTCATCTTACCACCATTGAAGATGAAGTTGTTCAAAGTTTCAAAGAGTTTTAAAAATTATTTGTGATTTGGTTCCATGAAAATGTAGGTTCCAAAATATGGGTTTCTTTATCGATTCAGAATATAGGATAAATTCATTAATACAGTTAAAAGATATGAAGTTACTTATCTTATATAATTAAGTTCACTTTCATCGTCATTTCAAAATATTGTCTTCATATTCATCACAATCTTAAAAATAATGTAATTATAAAGTTAAAAATTAGGCGTAAACTCAAAATATTCCACAATAGGAGGCAAATTAATCACATTATGAGCATGTTCAGCATAGAGCGTTTGAGAGTTTCTAGCTTCTCGTTTGACAAAACGCTCTGTTTTGAAAAGAAAGCATTGTTTGACACTATAAGCTTTTAACGTTTAGTTTAAACAAAACGCTCTAAATCCAAATGTTACTTCATGTAACATTTAACAAAACGTTATAAGGTACAAGCTACCTGCTACCAGCTAATTTTGCCGAACACGCCTTATAACTACTTTCACTTATTTATCGCAAATAACCATGATTTCAGGGTAATAGTTTCTTTTATTATCTATGGCTAGATCGATCGGTTTCGGGTCAAATAGGAAGAACTAGAAGATTCCACCTCTGGAAAACGCCTACACCTAATGGCTTAAGCCGCTGTTCCCATTTCCTCGCTGACCCATCATGCAAAAGGTACGCCGTTAGAGTGAGTGCGCTTGACTAATATAGAAAGTCAAGGCGCTTAATAGCAGTCTAGTCTCTTCTGGGTATGAATCTGAGCCTTAGCATTAGTGCCTTGGATCCTAGGACTGATTACAGGGAATGGATGATGGAAGATAGAGATGACAACTCTTCCTATGAAAGATTGTCAATACCGGGAACATTCATCTAACGATTCAACTATATTGAAGGTTTTATAATCTTAGTCTGAACTAGCAATGCTATGGTACTTGGAACTCTTTTCAAAGGAGGTAATTCGTTCGCTCCAAACACGACTTGCTTGTAATTTATCCTTCAATCCCAAAAAAGCAAGAATGAATGACCAAACTCGTTAGACTCAGCAGAAGTGTAAGGTGTAAGTGAAGAGAATAGAAGAGATGAAGTCTGCCCCTTAGCCTAGTCTATATCCACAGCTGACGCAACTCCGTACCGACGTCTCACTACTACTTAATTGAATTAATTAACGGCTAAACTTTTTCATAACCTACTACCAAGACGATTTGGATACTTGACTTCTAGATGCAATATCTTCACTGTTCTGAAAACAGAACTTTCTTGTTCATTCTAGTTGTCAGCCAGCTTCATTATTTATAGATTATACATATGAGTAAATTAAATGAATGGTCTATAATGTTTGGGATAGTTTTCATTGTTGGGTTCTATCTTTTTATTTTATTTTATTTTAAATTCAAGTGGTTAATATGATTTTGCTTTGTTTCAGGGTTAGTCCCTACCAGACCTGAAATGAATGTTATACATTTTTTTTAATCTTTTTAGTTTTTTTTTATTATCGTTTTTAATTTTTTTTAATAATATTTATTTAAATAGATCCACTCTATCACCACTATTAATGTTCAAACAATGAGATCCAACACTTCTTTTTTTGTCATCGACTCACACCCGCCATCTGCAACCTCCACCTTCCGCCTTCAACCTCAGCCATGGTTAGACCTGTCAATTGGGCGGGTTTAGAGCGAATCACCATCGATCCAAGCTAATGTTTTAAAAACCGGTTTGAACCGACCGGTTAGACCGGGGAAAAGAGCGGTTCAACTATAACTGGTTTTATGTCTATTTCTGAAGTGGAACGAACCGGCACAAAAATCTGGTTGAACCGGTTAAATTAAACCGGTTGAACCGGTTAAATTGAATAAAAACACATTGAATTGAAACATTTTGCATAATAAACTTTGGTGGTTTTTTCACATCTATTCAGATTTTTATGAATAAAAACACATGATAAATGTTATGAAGTTTTTTGATGCGTTTGTATTCATCAAATACTTTATTTTCTTTTTAATGCACGTGGATTGATGTAAAACTTATGATTATGTGTTATTTTAATGTATTTAGATTGATCTACAACTTGTTTGCATGTGTATTTTTAATGTTTAACTTGTGTACATCAATATCTTCATTTATATATATATATATATATATATATATATATATATATATATATATATATATATATATATATGTATGTGTAAGAAAATACGAAGAAAAAAAAATGAAAATTATAGAAACCGGTTTACTTGGCGGTCGAACCGATTAAACCGGAAACCAGTCACTATACTGATTAAACTAAAAAATCGGTTTTTAAAACATTGTTCGAAACCCTTTAAAAACATGACCCACCCGCTCCAATAACCCTCAGGGTTTTGAATAATCGAGTCCATATCTGTATCCACTGAATTGATGAGCACCCGGCCCATCAACCCGACCCTTTTACAATGTTAAAATTTCACAATTTGATATGTGTCACATAGTAATATTTCTGAAAAAAAAGATAAAATGTTTACGTAAAAAAGATGTACATTACTTAATACTCAAAATCCAATATAATAAGAATTACCTTTTACTTAGACATCGAGTTGCATATATATATATATATATATATATATATAATATATATATATATATATATATATATATATATATATATATATATATATATATATATATATATAGAGAGAGAGAGAGAGAGAGAGAGAGAGAGATAGGTTCAGATATTTTAACTAAGTATTGTATTATTGTATGCATGATTATGGACCAATCAAAATTTAATAGAAAAAACAATAATTAAATAAATCAATAAGGGTAACTAGGTAATTTGAGAAATAACTTCCGCAAATACTCTCTATAATTTTGCTAGTTACGTTGATTTTAACCTAATCCCCCTTTTATATACGACTGATCTGATCAATCGTTGTAGGATTAATTTTCATCACCGGTTGAAGACTCCTTCACGCCGACCAGCAGGTAACAGAGGCGGGCACTCTTTTTCACGGTGATGATCTTGATCTTCTTCTTTCCCTTCAAGACAGGGTGCTAGAAACCCCTCCTTCTTCTCCTTCGCCCCATTGACCTGGTAATATCTGTATATTTTGTTATACCGTTCATGCTACCGTCCTCTCCCTCGGTCAGCCTCTACGGCCTTCTTTCTAATTTTGACTTTTCATCTCTGAGTTCGATTCTTCAATCTGAGTAGTAGGTTAATTGTGTAAGTAATTAATCAGATTGTTCATCCTCAAGATTTCGTTTTGTTTTCCTCTAACAGATTCCTTTCATATATGGTGCAGATGATCCAAACAAGACACAACACCTACTTGCCCTTGATGGAGCTAAGGAAAGGCTGTCTTTGTTTGAAGCTAACCTGACTGAACAAGGATCTTTCGAGTCCGCAGCTAATGGCTGCGAATGTGTCTTTTATATGACATCTCCTGTTATACCTTCAGTTTCACTTTCTAACCCAAAGGCACAATTCCTAGATCCTGCAGTGACGGGGACACTTAATGTTCTCAAATCAGCTGCAAAAGTTCCATCTCTCAAAAGAGTGGTTTTGACATCTTCCATGACTGCGGTTATGTTTCGTGTAGAACCTTGGGAGTTTGGTGCTGAGGTGGATGAAACATGGTTTTCAGATCCTGAAACTTGTGAACAGAAAAAGGTATGTATGTATATATATATATATATATATATATATATATATATATATATAATTGTGTTAAAACTTTAACTTTATTATTAATTAGTCAAAAAGTTTGTAATTTACATTTATGGTATCCACTTTCGAAGACCCTGGGTGAGGATGTTGGTGTGACATTTTGTAAAGAGAAAGGTTTGGAGTTGGTGGTTATAAATCTTGGGTTTGTCATTGGTCCTCTCTTACAGCCAACTCTCAACACCACTTCTGAGTGGGTTATGGGATTGATTGTAACTGGTAATTGTCTACTACAACTAAAAATCAATTCATCCGATCTGTATAATTAATTTATTGAACATATTGCATGCTCAAATCTTTATAATATGTAGGAAAGGAAATATTTCCAGATGGAATTTATAGACTTGTGGATGTGAGAGATGCAGTATCATTCTCATTAAATTATTTTTTACTTTGGATATTTTTCCAACAGAATGGATATCGTAACTGAATCTTGAATTCCAATTCTATCATAATGGAATCACGAATTCCAATTCTGTTGGAATGAAATATGGATATTTTCTTACTGATTTATGCATTGGATTTGTTTCCACAGAAGCAGCTGAAGCTTGAAGAATGGACCATGAAATTGAAAGTGATTCTTAGCAACATTATTCTTTTAGAATGTATTAGTGTCTTTATTAGATTTTGATGTTTTTTTCCCGATTTGAAAGTTTTTTTAGTTTTATTCTTTAATAATAAATGTAATTCTTAGCAATTGTTACACGTATTCTATAAGAATTAATGTAATTTTTGTTTTTATTCTTCAATTGATGGTTCAAGAATTTGTTATTCTCCAAGAAGTTTTTAAAGTTATGATCAAGGAATAGGTTCAAAATATTTTTATTATTTTATGCTTCAAGAATATTTTTATTTTTGATAAATATATTCTGTCAGAATATCCGAGAATTATCATCACTACAATCAGATTTTTAAAATTAATATAATCTATTATCACTTAAAATATGCAATTTTCCTTTTTTAAATTTATGTTAATTGACTAAAAAACCCTTAAAATGAAATTAGATGGTATTTTCTAATTATCATTAATTTAATAACATGTATTATTCACTTTCTTAAAATAAGTGAAATTGATTGGCCCACATTTATGCATATAATAATACAATAATTACTTTGAATAAAATAATCTAAGCGTGTATATATATATATATATATATATATATATATATATATATATATATATATATATATATATATATATATAGGATGGCTTATAGGTGAAGTGAATCGACAATGATCAATATCTAACTCATTAATAAAAGAGTAAACATGTATGGATCGCATGGAGGCGTTGAGGGAGACAAAGTGGACAACTACATAGGACCCAATTTTTTTATTATATATTTTTATTTAAAAATAAAAATTTATAATAACGATAAGGACTTTTTTTTCTGACTCGTCCTGGGTCTTTGAAAATATTTAATTTCTCAAGACCGGCCCTAATAAATCATAAACGAGTAAGCGAATCGAAAATTAAAATCAAAACCCATAAAATTTTTACAGGTTTGGGTTTGGAGCAACTGAGGGTTAAAATCCGCCTAATTGATATGTCTACCCACGGTAGACCTTGAAACTCTAGATCTCATTTTTCTATTCTCTAGCAGACATCACACTTAGAAATCAAAATCCAAAAATCAAACTCATTGCTAAAACTTTAAATAAAAGTCCGATATAGAAAGAGCACATTAACATATTTATTATGCTAATAAGTACAAATACAAAAAATTACTTTTACTTAGAAATAAAAATGTTTTACAGCAAAAAAGACATTTTTGTCTACCCGTCCATAGTCTGTATTTTTGATACAGACTAAAAAAACACACACCACCAAAAGGAAAATGTGATTTCTCGTTAAAACCTCCAACCCAATATGATTTTCCTATCACATGTTTTTCTGTATTTTTGATATACTTTATTACCACATCCACAATTGGTTTGAGGTTTATTTGTTGTTTTGTCCTTTAAGGAATCGGAGACAAACGGAATATGTGTATTTGTGGGACTTGTGTGAATATTTGTGTGTCATTCATCGAACCAACTTCTTTTGTTTCCTTAAATTAATCGTAGACAAATTTCGAGTAATATGTGGTACATATTTTATTCTCAAAAAGTTTTATTTTAAATTCAAAAAGCATAATTTGGATAAAAACAAGTTGGTACAATGACATTTCACCGACCATATAACTTGACGCACAATATTATAAAAAAACAGATCAGTTAAATAATATAACAAATAAGATTCATTACGTTATCATATTATCATCATATCATGTGCAAATGATAAGTTTATTAATATTTTTATTGAAGAATGTATATTTACTCTCAAAGTATGTTTTGATTGTTTTGGCTTGACTTTATTTAATATTTTTAGACCCACAAAGGACTACGATCTATATTATTCATTTATTGACGTACTATTAACGATTGTACAAATTGATAGACATAACATGCTTTGGAATTTTAAGGCCGTTCATCTCAGTTTTGATTTTGGGAAAAATATTTCTATAACTTTTAGATGAACATAAGTACATAACTTATGTTTTAACTCAATTTAGATTTTCTTAAAAAATCTATTTTTCTTATTTTCAATTACAACACTACTATATCTAGATTGTGAGCGACAAACTAATTCTCTGTTGATAGATAAAGGCCAAATTTCACGAAACTATTGTATTTTGGATTTTTATTTTTACAGTAAATTACATGGATGGTCCTTGTGGTTTGGGATAAATTACGTGTTTGGTTCCTAACTTATTTTTTTTAATTTAGACCATCCTCCCTATAGTTTGGTTTTGTTACGTCGTTGGTCCCTACCCGACTTAAAATGACTATTTTGCCCTTAATAATATACCTTTATTTTGTTAGTCTTTAATTTATTATTTCATTATTTTTAAATAAAGTAATCTGTTAATATATTGTTGAAAGTGGGACCTACCGGTCCACCCCACCTTAATCCTCTTCCCTTCCCGGCACCTTCGGTGCCATGGACTTGAGGTGCGTTGTGGGCGTTGTCGGTTTAGAGGAGAAAGGCGATAGATGATGGTTGGGTGGTTCACTGGTTTAGGGTAAAATTGGGGGGGGGGGGATGATTGGAAGGAGGAGTGTGCAACATCTTTCCCTTGAACACAATCGTCAAACGATTGTCTGAAGTTTCTAGTCGTCGGCGACAACGATTTCAGTAGAACGGGGGAGGTGGCGCCAGAGAGAGAGGAGAAGGAGGAAGGGAAACTGATGTCGGTCCGATGGATTAGGTTTCTTTTCATTCTTTACTGATACTTGTAAGGGTGCAAAGTCACTCTTGGATGTTATGAGGGCTTACTCCTTTGTGTGTGCATAATGAGTTGTCTTTCCTTTATAAGGAAGTGAGTGACACTCATTTTATCTAATGAACATTTTGAGAGATTAGTTTAGAGAGAGTATTTGCAAAACCCATTTTGTACTCTTTCTATGAAACTAATGATAGCTTAAAAGAATTATTTAGATCTTTTGTTCATGTTCTTGATTTTACTTGATGATTCACTAAATCATTCTTAATTCCGCACATGCCATCATAATCAACACCACTACAATTGGTATCAGAGCAGGTGTTCTTGATTTGATCAAGAATTGATCCTTGATGGCGATCTTGCTTTGGTGATTCATTTTTTGATCTTTGATCTTCGTGGTTTAGAGAGTTTTTGGATTCTAGAAATCGAATTCATCTTTGATTCTATTCATAATTCGATTTTCTTCACTAGAATTCAAGTGATTTTTACTTTCTCTCTCTAGAAAACCCATTCGAAATCACTTTCTCTCTCTAGAAATCTTCAAGTTTTTGTGATCATGGTGAATTTGCCTTACAATTCTTGGATTGTGATCGTTGAAGATATCAAATACAAAGTCAATAAAGATCAATATTCTGGGTTGGTGTTAAACAAGTTGATATATTGGGAAACTATGGTTTCTTATGGAGGATTGAAGGATGATCATGGAAGCTTGATATTTCAACCACTTTGTGAGATCAAATGGTTGGCTGATATTACATGGTTCATATCAACACGTAGTAGTGATAAGATTGGAGAAGAAAAACATTTGTTCAAAAAGAAATATGTTTCTCTTATTGAAGACCCAAATGATCTTCGTGCTCTTAAGTTTGTTGAAGTTCTTGACAATGGAGTTCAATGTGATGTTCTTGATGTTCAAGAAAAAGGAGTTCAAGTTGATTCTCATGATGAAAAACTTTTTTGCTCGATTGGAGTTCAAACCGATGATATTTTGTGTTCTTGTGATTCGTTTGAAGGAATGATTCCTTATCGGAAGCCGGTGATCCAAGAAATTCACAAGTATCAAACTCCAAAAGATTTGATTCAAATTCACAAAGTTGATGTTGTGGAAAGTGGGTTTGTTCATGAAGTCAAGTCTTCAAGATGCAAAAAGATGAGAAAGAAAAAGAAGAAGAAGATTAAACGGAAGAACAAGCGGGTTTATTCACAAAAATCGTTGAATGTTGTTGTGAATCCGAAATCCGTGAAGCAAATTTGGGTTCCAAAGCAACAATCTCCAAATGTTGTATTGAATTTGAAGTCAAAACCCAAATGTGTTGGTGGTTCTTTTGAAGATGTTCTTGGATCGTTGAAGAACACGAAGAACACGAAGAACGAGTTATACATCACGCATAATGGGTGGTACAATGTTCAAATTGAAGATTTTCTCATTCCAACAAAAGAACCAAGATCTTCTAAATTTCATTCGTTCGTTGCAAATGGATCTCGATTCGTCAAAAAGGTATCTCAAATTCTCAAATGGATTCCAAAACGTCCATGATTTCAATTCGTGCATTGCGTTCTTGATTGTTTGATCGTTTTGTCTCTATGGATCAAAATTCGTTTTCACCCCATTGATTGATCCATTTATTGTTGCATAGATCAAAAATTGAGCCTAAAATCAAAATTCGTTTACTATTCATTGATTCAACTTTCAAGCCCAATTCTAATGATTCATTACTGTTCGCATCATTTGTTTGAGCCCAAACTTTATTTTGATTCGATATCTTATTGTGATGAGCCCAAAGTTAATTCCATCTTCGTCAACGTATTTTCAGTGAATCAAATTTTATATCCAATTTGACATCTGATCACCTTAATTTTTCTGCTAAATTGATTCATGACATTGGTTCTTTCTTCACATATCATTCAATCTGTGAATTGAAATTCGTGAATATTACATTTTTTTTCCGCTATGTCTTGTGATCTAAAGATTGAATCTCCGTTCAGTATCAATCGATTGTGCTCAATATGATTTTATCATATTTTTCTCCATCCATGATGATCGATTTCTTAATTTTGAAGTCGAAATTGAATATTGATTTGAGTTTCTTGCTTAATATTGGTTCAATGGCTGAGTAAAATTGATTTCGGTGGTACTAATTTGCGTCAAAACAAAAAGTCAAAGTTGTTGTTCTTGGTTCAACTTGTACGCATGCTTCAATAAGTTGTACGATTGGATCGTTGTGGTTCTTGTGTTCTTTTGATGTCGATTGTTAAATTTTGGCAAGCAGGATTCTTGATTTCATCGTTCAGTAGGTCATTTGTTTTTGGAATCGATTGAAATTGAAGTCGACTGATATGATTTGGATATTGTAGTCAAACTCGATTTCAAAATTCCGACTGATTTTTGATGTTGAAATCGAAATTTGTGTTAGAATCGAATGGTTATGTGAATCGAGTTCGCATATTTGGCTTGGATGATAACGAAGAAATTGGGAGTGATTTTGGTTTCGAATGGAGTTAAGAATCGATGGCTAAATTTGATGAAGAATCGGTTTTGGTTTCGAACATATTTTGACTATGGTTTTGGAATCGACTGGAACGATGGTCGGCGATTGATAGCAGATAACGAAATTGCTGGGTTCGCATATGATGATGTCGATTTAATGAAAGTGAAGTGTTGGGTTTCACTGTCGATTGCTGTGTTGGAGTCGTTGATGTCGATTTTGGTCGACGTTGATGTTTAACAGCGAAGGGTTGGACTCTGCTGTTGATGACAACGATTTTGGAATTGGGGCGTATGATCGAATATTGAGCTGTGAAGGTTTTTGGAACTAGATTTTGGAGTCGATGGCTTGTTTTAAAGTAACGAAGATTTTGATAGATTGATAACGAGTGATGATAATCTGGGAAGGCGAAGGACTTCAATTGGGTTGACTCGTTTGTTTGATAAAGAACTGGAAAAAGGTTTTGAGTAATCGATTCGAGGGTTGAAGCGAGAACAGATTGTCGATGCTTGGGTATCAAGATCGAATGATTGTAAGCAGATGATAAATTGGAGTCACTGTTTGATGGTTTGGGAACGAACAGATGAAGCAATTTGATTGTTGATTTGGGTTAGTAACAAAAAGCGAAGGGTTGATTTTGATGTCGACATGAGAACGAACGAAGGTTGTGTAAACGAAATGTCAATGAACGAAATTGATAAACAGGGATGAAGTCGATTCAGAGACTAAATGATTAAGATGTTATTCAAAGGCTTCGACTACCTTCGATTTCGTTAATCAGTGTGAAAAATTTTCGTTAGTTCGGTGATGTTTGTTTCTAACGAAGGGTGTGATTGAATCTAACGAATGGGTGATTGAATCTAACGAATGGGTGAATAAAACTAACGAAGGAAGAGATGCAGTTTCATACGAAGGGGAAAAATTTTCGTTAGTTCACGTCTTCGTCCCTGTATAACGAAAATTGGGGAAGAAAACAAATATTTTCAGTTTGCACCCCTGCCCTTTTCACGAAATGACAAAAATGGTCCAACTTCGACATTGGAGTAAAAATTTGTGAAGAATGGCAGAATTTCTCATTTAGCCCCTGCAGTTTCGAAAAGTTGGCAGCAGATACCCAACTTCGAAATTGGGTTAATTTTCTGAGAAAATGAAGATTTTACAGTTCTGGTCCCTGCAGTTTGTGCGAATTAACATTTTCTACCCAGTTTCTCAAATGGGGGAGAATTTCGCATATTAGGCTGGTTTTGGCGCAATGGGTCCCTGCAAGTTTCAGAAAGTGACAATTTCTACCCGATTTTTGAAAAATCTTGCAACTTTCACCCAAAAAGTCAAAAATTTTCATAAATTGGAAATTTTTTGTGGCTTTTTCGTGATTGTTTTTCCGTGCAAGATTTTTGGAGTTTCATTTTTGGCACACATCAAGGGGGAGTTTTGTAAAGTTCATTCCTCGAGCGCTTCTCACCCTTAATGGGTTTTATAATCATTTTTTGATTATAAAAATGGGGAGAATGATGGGTATTCGAAGCGGATCTTTCATTTGCGGATTTGAAGACCGGTGTTTACTTCGAGGGGGAGTTTGGTCTGGATCGCGCGTGCTCGTTGGAGATTGAAGCCGAACATCCAATCCTAACTTTGAGGGGGAGAATGTAAGGGTGCAAAGTCACTCTTGGATGTTATGAGGGCTTACTCCTTTGTGTGTGCATAATGAGTTGTCTTTCCTTTATAAGGAAGTGAGTGACACTCATTTTATCTAATGAACATTTTGAGAGATTAGTTTAGAGAGAGTATTTGCAAAACCCATTTTGTACTATTTCTATGAAACTAATGAGAGCTTAAAAGAATTATTTAGATCTTGTGTTCATGTTCTTGATTTTACTTGATGATTCACTAAATCATTCTTAATTCCGCACATGCCATCATAATCAACACCACTACAATACTAGAGAAAGAGGAGGCCCACATTTAATAAAAAAGTTATTTTATAATTAGTTAATAAGTAAATAAAAAACAAACCAATTAAAATATTACATAAGGGTATATCAGTCATTTTATGTCGGCTAGGGACCAACGACGTAACAAAACCAAATTAGAGGGACGGCCCGAGTTAAAAAAAAGTTAGGGACCAAACATACAAATTACATCAAATCACAGGGACCATCCGTGTAATTTACTCTTATTCTTATTTATTTATTTATTTATTTATGGTTTAACCATTGAAATAACCTTTTTTTTATTTAATCAATGAGATTTTTAAATCACTACATACCACCTTAAGTTCTATAAAACTACTATATAGTTAGGAATTTGTTAGTTTTGATCATCCAAAATTGATGTTTATAATTTATCCATAACAATAACTTTCTTTTTTTATAAAATACTTTTCTAATGATTCTTTATAATTCATTGACAAGAAACACTTGCAATGGTTTAGGAAAAAAAACTATCAATGATTAAAGAGTAAATTATAGTTTTATTACCCATGGTGGCTCCAATTTGCACATTCCGTCCAACTTTGGGAATATTGAAATGCGTGGTCTGTGTTTCCAAATCTTACACCACAAGTAATGAAGGGCACGTGCAACTCGCATTAGGGAAAATTTGTCTTTTCTTTTGGAACCTGATACACTCAACGACTTGCCGCCATAATACTCTAGCATTAATAGAGACTTTGATGTACACCATCACTTGTCAAATACACTGTCAATTATCAACCCAAGAAAACTCATTTAGCTTCTGTAACCTTCGTCATCTGTTCATCTACCATAGGTTAGAGGTTAAGATCATAATATGTACCGGGAAGAAAAATCAAGGTAATCAAAATGTTCCAACCTACAATATGCAATATTCGTACCTTTAAAACAATTGTGGATACAAACGAAGTTTATAGTAAGTTCTTAAATGTAATCTTTAACCATAAATCTTTCATTAAAATATCTTTTTTTGTTAACAAATATATGTTTTTTACATAGTGTTTTCTGAATATGTTCACAATGAGAATCACCAAGGTGGGTTTTTCTCCAAAGTATGCAGACGAAAATATATTGATGGAAAGCTAACTTATGTTGACTCAGTTTACATCCACTTTTGCATGCTAAAGTTCCACTTAGACTTTGGTATTTTACCATTTGGAAACGACCAAGATGGGATTACTCTCTCTAGGTATGTTGATAAGTGTAAGGAGATCATTGTTTACACTGAACATGTACATACGCATTTACACTCTTACTTTAAGTACCATGTTAAAGTTATTATTAAGGATATAGAAGATGAAACATCCCCATACTATATTACAAACAAACCTTTGGGGGTTTCCCAAGTAACTGATGTTGATGATCCCTTTAATGACTCATATGCTATAATTTCTTTTCAACAAAGTAATGTATCCCAAAAGGACACACGTAAATGTTAAAGGTATTCATGTAGCTCTTAATGATGCAACATTTTTTGTTGGTGGATATGTCCCATTGGTGGATGGTGAAGATGACCTAATGTAAACATAGGATAACTCAATTCCTTATGAATATCCCTTTATGGTAGCCATGTATCTCTTAATGATGCAACATTGTTTGATGGTGGATATGTCCTATTGGGGGACGGTGAAAATGACCTAATACAAACATGGGATAACCCAATTCCTTATGAAAATCTCCTTAAAGTTAATCAAGATAAACTTAAATTATTTGATCATTTCTTTTATTTTAGGAATCAAAGTGTCTTATACAATGAAAACTTTAAGGAGGACTACCATATCAACCTAGAATATGGATATCAGACTCAAGTAGAGGAGGATGTAGCTACAAACTTAGAAAAATTAAACATACAAGGAAAAGATGAAAATAGCACAAATAATATAGGTAGAGGAAGTTCTTCTGATGGTAGAATTTGATGTAGATGAGCTAGACTTGATAGATGATATAGAGATTGATATGGCTGAATTACTTAGTATAGTAGATCTGTAACATCCGGGAATTTGGGTATATCTGTTTAACCCTTCCTCTTCTCCAAATTGTCAAGAGAAGCCCCTTTATGGAAATGTTGCAAAGGAGTACGCTGGACGTACTGAAGAGTACGTTGCGCGTACTCATTCGCTTTTAATAAACGCGGACTCCATGAAGTACGCTGGGCGTAACCGGCCCAGATGCAAAACCCTAATTTAGACTTGAGCCCTATATAAAGAAGGTTATGGCCTTATCCTCAGCCACCATTTGAGTGAGTGAAACCCTAAAAGAGAGCCATCCTTCGTTCTAAGCTTGTGTGAGTGTTTTTGGAGCTAAAGTGCCTTTGTGTGTTAGTAAAGAAGAAGAGGAGATTCTTGTGAAGGCTAGAAGTTGGAGTGCAAGCTTGGATCTGAGTTCTACAGAGGGAGAAGCTTCATTTGGAGGTAAAAAGCTCAGGACTTTCCTTGTTGTTATGGTTGTGTGCTTCTTGGACCAATTTTAGGGTTTTTGGTCCCAAGCTTGAGGCTTTATGAGTTGATGCACTCCAGAGCTTAATAACCTGTCCTTTTAAGTGTTTCTTGTGGTGGAGAACCATAAAAATAAGGCCTTGATCGTGTGAATCTACCCATGCATGAGTTATGAGCACTTTGGGTTAAGAAAGCAAGAGTTTTCATGTGTTGTGGCCTTATCAGCCATGCAAAGGCTTAAAGTTGTTAACTTTATGGAGTAAGAGATGTTAGGAAGTCCAGATCCAAGAGTTGAGCTAAGGTCTTAACGAGTTAAGACCCAGAAAATGGATTAAGCAAGCCTGATGGTACGCGCCGCGTAATTCCAGTACGCCCCGCATACTGGGTTGAGGTCCCCGATCAGTTCCTTGAGTGTTTGGGTACGCTGAGCGTACCAGGGGGGGTACGCCCCGCGTAACTCCTTTTGGGGGTTTTTGGGCTAAGCATTTTGTTGGGCCTTGAGTGTTGGGCCGGAAGTTTGGACCTCATGTAATAGAGTCTTGGACTAGAGAAGTGTATGTATGTGCTTTGGGCCTTTGGTTTGGACTTGCCTTTTTGGTTGGGATTTGGGCCGTGTGAGGGCCCATTTATTATTGGGCCTTGGTGGGCCCAATGGACTTAGGGCATTAATGGGCGGATAGGTGGTCTATCTTTAGACCCAATAAGTGAGAGGTTAGACTTAGCTCCTAATTGAGATTATTGTGGGTTTGGCACAGAGTTAGAGTCTGGTGCGTAGCAGCAGTGATTATAGGAGTTGTTCTTCATCCGAGGTGAGTCTTCTCACTATACATTACCT